CAAGTTTGTTTTAGTCCACATCATCAATTTTTTCCATGTGGCATTCTATTGATTAGCGTGTAATAACACGTCAACAATGAAAAAGAAAAAAGACAAAATATTTAACAGATTATAGTGCCACTCTGTCACTTAACTGACGGAATGACCAAAAAGGGGCCGGATTTTGAAATTTAGGGACTAAAAAGGGGATTTTTTCAGTACAGGGATAAAAAAGGAGCTTTTTCCTATAGTAGAGGGACCAAAAAGGGTATTAATCAAAATTTAATCTTTTTAATTTTGAAAAATAATGACAAATTTTGTTAAAAAGTGAAATATCTGTCTTTAAATGTAAAAATATTAGAAGTTTTGTTTTTAAATGTTAAAAACTTAATAGTTGATGTCTTGTATTGTTAGGATAAGTTTAGGGACTAATTTCTTACTAACGTTCGCTGAATAAATGGCTTGGCTTAATTAGGCTAATGACAGGTAAGCATACACTTGAAATGTGTGATTACCAAGTGAGGGAAGGGCAGTCTAGTTTTGAAGTGGAATGCATTAGAATTCCATTAACTTATCTTTAAATTATTATGCTTTCAGATGAGAATGACCAAAACAATTTCATTTCCCTTCTAGTCTAGCACCAGACGAGCAAAACAAAAATAGAGGAGTTGCCGCTTTGCAACAAAGCTAGTAGCAAAATTGAGAGGTTAATTGGAGGAGTTTGGGTCAAACCTCATTTAAATTGAAGTAAGTAACTTTTAAGCTTAACAAATTTAAACTAAATTCTCCAAAATTTTAAGAAGGGCTAAATTCTTCAAATTATAAAACATTAACTATACAGAATTAGTACTTATGCAAGAGCTTCTCATTTGAATTTTAATGAAATTAATATATTTTTATTTTTTTTTATTTTTTTTACCTACAAAAATAGTATTTCTACAACAGTTTCTTTTCAATAGAATTTTTATTAAAAGCTTCAATTACACCAAACGGACATTGAGCATATTTGGGTTAACTTGTAAGAGTTTTTACTTTTTTTTTGTACTATTCATGAGTGATAAATTTAAATTTTTATTGAATAAAAAAGTTAAATTTTGTTTTTAGGGATAGAAAAAAATGAATAAAAAAGAAATTTAGCAAAAGTTTAAAACTTTTGAGTTTTTACTGTTTATAGTCTTTTTAAGGGTAAAAAAAATTTTAAAATGTAAGTTTTTAAAAGAAAAATTTTAATTTATTAAACATAAATAGTATCAAAAAACTGAAACTTTTAGAAATTAACCCAAACATACCCTATATCTCTTTGATTCTTGAAAATTACTTTTCAAGCCAAGCCAAAGTCAAAAATAGCTTGGCTTCCCCGGATATATATTTTTTTCTTTTGGAAAAGTCTTCACTAAACATGCCACTAGAGTTGTTTATTAGCAAAATCTTCAAAATCTGTCCTTTATATTCGAAAACTTTTGGAGGGAAATCTTGATTTTTTGGAAACAAATTCCTTAAAAAATAAGTTTTGAAAAAGCGATAATCCCTTGGTTTCCCCAAAACTTGCTTTAACATTTTAAAAAAAAAAATTTTTTTTGCTAAAAGCAAACATCCCTCCAAACTTAAGAGAGAAACATTTTGAAGATTTTGCTTATAACTTATAAGCAAGTATTTGAAAAGAAAAGAAAAAAAAAAACACCTATGCCAAATGGCTTCTAAACTAATTATTAATTGTGCTTACCAGTTATATATATGACTTTTTAGGATCTATAAAAATCCTAGGAGATTTCTTTTTAGGATCTATAAACAATTACTTTTTATTTTAGTTGGTTATATTGCTTTTGAAGCATTTATAATTAATTGTAATTGTAAAACATATAGAATCAACTACTTTCTTCATTGATTTTTGTGCTCAAAAATTAAATTTACAAAACTTAAGCTGAGTCGTTTTTTTTATGCAGCTTCTCTAAAATTTGCTTTTGAGATATAGGTAACTAAATAAATCCTAGGTACCTAATGAGGGCCGGTTCAAGACATTTTCTTTATTAGTTTTTAATAGGTTGAATGTCAAATAAAAACATTGGACTTTTAGGAAGTAGGTAAGGAGTATTCAAAATCTTTTCTTGTATCAAATAACACCTTCGATATATGAAAAGGTAAGCATTTAAGATCCTTTTTTTTAATAACTATTAGTTTTTGAGTTAAGTTCTCATTTAAATAACTTTATTAATTAAGTTAGAAAAATATGCAAATATAAAATAAATTTTACCAACAAATAAGTCCCTAATAAAGCTATAATGGCAAATCCACCCGTAATATTACTAGAAGTCATGTTAATGAGGTGACAAATTAATTTCAACTTTAAATTATACACATGCCTTTATTTCATTATTAAAATCTTAATTATTTACAAGAAAAATATTATATTTAAAAAAAGGAATAAAATTCCACCTAAATTAAAGGGTATATCTTAATTATATAATTACCCTTATATAGCTTGCTTAATTATGCAATTGTGATCTTAATTAATAGTTTTTGAGTAATTATGAAATTAAAAGGTTTTTGAAATGAAATTAAAAGTTTACCCTTCTTTCCCCTCTTTTTTTTTTAAAAAAAAATATATTTAAAAAATTTTTCTTTTCTCTTTTCTATTCATCCTATTTATCAATAGCAGAAATTGGCAACAATCTAGGTTCCTTCCCATTAATGGCTACTCTTTGTTGGTGAGGGATTTCTCTATGGCATTATTGTAAACACCTTACTAACATTTCCGTATAATATTAGCTACACAATGTCAAATTTATTTTTATTTTCCCTCAACATTTTGAGTTTTATAATAGTCTTAATGGTTGAAGTTAATGCAGAAAATATGAAATTGACACGTCAAAAAGAAGTAAAAATTTATGAGTGCTACCAAGATGCTATTTTTATAGCATCTATTGTTTTGAGCCTCTTTAAATACATTAATTTGAAATAAGGGCATATATGTAATTTAATGTTCAAAATAATTTGCCACTTTATTAAAAAGTATCCACATTAGATGATTCTTAGCGATATTAGGGATCAATTTGCTAATACAATTTATTAAGGGCTTACTTATTGCTGAAAATTATTTGAAAGCACTTATTTGCATATGTTTTCAATTTAACATGTGATTTAATCCAAAAAAAAAAAACCTTTAAGAGGTGAGGGAGGTAGTATTTGCTAGTTTCAATAAAAGACCTTAAATGTTCTCTTATAAATATATGTACATATATATATTGAGGTATTATTTGACATAATATTTAAAACATTCTTTACCTATTTTTAAAATTTTAAAGGTTATGTCTCACATTAAACTTTAAAAAAAGGTGAGGTACGTAGTATTTGCTAGTTTCAATGTTAGTAAATTTATTTCATATTGGACTTTACAATGATTGAATTGCTTAAGAATGATTCTGGCCATTATCAACACCCATTTTTTAAAAGGGAAATAAAAGAAAAATAAATAGAAGGAGATAATAAAATAATAAATGGTTCATTTGGGACAAACAAACAAATCACATCAAATATACAAGAAACGGTGATAGAAAAACAAAAATTATCAATAATTGGACAAATCCTCGCAACAAAATAAGAAAAATAAAATAAAACAAAATTTGAAAGTGAAATCTCAACCCTTTTTCTTCCTCAATCTCACACTGCAATCATACTCCAATAATTCCATTGAGAGAAAGGAATAGAACTTGAGGGGAATGAACAATGAACTTTACATAAATCAAAGATAAGATCATAAAATAAAGTGTTGGTGTAAGGCAGAAAATCCATTCAGAAAAGAAGGCCAAATGCGAGAGCCACAACAGAAGCAAAGGCTGCTGGAACAAAGGTTGTGGCATCAGAGGTTGGGGCGGGCGCAGGGGCGTCGCTGGCTGCAACATTTTGGACGGTAGATACCGCCATCAAGACAACCACGACGGCCAAGAACAGTCTCATCTTCAATGCCTCCATTGTTGATTTCTGAAAATTTTCCTGAGAAAGTTTGAGAAATTGAAATGTCTAGAGGGAACAAAGGAGAATGTGAGGAGAACAATTGAGGGCCAGGCGATTATGGGGTGACACAAGTGTAGCTTATATAGGTGCTGAGACCGTTGCTTTAACTTCGTGCACAAAGGCACCATTTTGAGGCTGTCCAAAGCTGCCCCCGACCGTTTGTTGGAACAGGGTGTCTTCGGCCTTTTAGGTGCCATACAGCTGTTGCCAACTGTTTCTTTTGCTTTTCTTTCTTTCCTTCCTATTTTTTTATTTTTTTGTGGGATCGTCAGTTCTGCGCTTAAACTACCACTTTTTAACAAGCCCCTCAACTTTTTTTTTTCTTTTTAAAATATTAAAGAAATATGTTTGGAGTGTTTAAAAGGACAATTATGTTTCCTCCGTAGTAAGCCCTAATAATTTGTGATTATAGGTTATGATGGTGATTTTCGAATTTCAGATATCGCTAATGGCTTGTTTGAAAACCTAAATTTGATTAGCGTGTATTTAGATATGAAATTTTAAATTTAAATATATTATTTACTTTTATTTAAATATAATATATATAAATTTAGTTTAAATATATGTATTTAATATTATATATTTTAAAATTAGAATTATATGTATTTTAAATATATACATTTTTTAATTCATGAATTTTAATTTAAAATTTTTTTTATTTCATCAAAATAAGATGCATCTTCAACGAAATCTAGATCAAATTTCATAGTTAATTTATTTAAGGAATTAAAAAATGCACATATATGATATATTTTTAGTATGTTTTCATGTATTGATTTTTTAATTTTTCCTTAAATTTTATTTTTTTATTTTATAATTTTTATTAAATTCAAGAATTTTAGTACAAATACTTAAAATTAAGATTTTAAGCTTTACTATATTAATCTATTGCGTTCTTTTTTTTAAAGAAATTAATATTTTCTTTTTGTCAAATTATATTTAGTTTTTAATTTTAAGAGAATTTAAACAATGTTTGAATATTTGAAAATAAAAATATATGGAGTTTTCTTATTAATGGAATAAATATTCAATTCAAATAATGAGTAGAAGAGAATTTAATTTAACATGAAATTCAATTTTAAATGTATAATATTATAGTGCATCTAAACAATAAATTTTTAAATACATGTAATTCAAATTCATTTTTCTTTATTTAGTCCAAACAATGCATTTTTAAATACATACATTTAAAATACATATATTAAATACAAATACCTATTCCTAATACAACCTAAAATAATTTATTAGTTTGATTAAGTGTATTTGTACAAGTAATCAAGGCTGCACAATTTTTGTCTGGTTAAATCCCTAACTTTATTTCTCAACGATTACAGGGGCTCTTAAATTAGTTTCTAAACTAAAAGAATTTTTAATTTGATTTTTAAAGTTTTTAATTTGATTTTAAATTGGTCTTTATATTAAAAAACAATTGATGTATCTTATTATTAATGTAACATGTAACCATTAAGTAAAGGCTTTCTATAATCAAATGATGACTTTTATCATCAAGTAATAGACACGTTAACTGTTTTTTAATAGGGAGATTAATTTAAAGTCAAATTTAAAAATTTTGAAAATTAAATTAAGAATTTTTTTTAAATTTAAAGACTAATTCAAAGATCCAAGAATCAAATCAAGGGTTTAACCTTTTTGTATCTAGCTAATTAGACACTTGAATACGAAACAAGAAACTAACCATTGGCACTTGCGACATCTTCTTGTTTTTTTTTTTTTTTAATTTACATGGTGTCTCAAGATTTTTTTTTCTTTGCATATTTCAAGAGTATTTCTAATCCGAATGGTCTTAAAGATTATCTTTCATTGTATTTAAGAAAATTAATTTTTTAAATATTTATTTAAAAACTTAAAAATTTAATTTAATTTACAAAATAATATATATTGGCACAACCCTCAAATCTACTCTAAAAAAATATCGGTGGGGACACATCCACTCCTAAAAAAAAGGCTGTCACGCCCCATAACCCAAATCCGAGGACGTGGCAGACGCCGTGCACTCGTGAGAGGGTCCCACAAATGCACAAGGCTCGGAACTTATCATATTGTACTCTGATACCACCAAAATCTGAAGATCAACTTTTAAAATCTGCTCTAATATCATAAAATCTCCAAATACAAGATCATGAATTGTTTCTAAAATT